CAAGAAAGCACATCTAGTTTGTCTCTGCCAGACCGCTCAGGCAAGGAACAAGAGACTCATAAACTTCATCGAATTTTTCTTTCTTTCCGTACAACCGTATGTATGATTCTTTAAAACTATGACAACTATGGAGTGAAAAAATGGATTAAGAGCGAAGAGTTTTTTGGTGAAGGGTTTGGTTGAAAACTAAGTATGACAACAATGGTTGTATGATCATACAACTGCTTCTTTTATCAAATATTTCTGAAGATGCATCTCCAAAAATATCTGACATGCAATGGTGATAAACAATTTCAAAATTCCGCCCATAATTCCGGAGATGTAATTTCAGAATTTCTATTGAACTGGTAAATAATTAAAGTATTTCTTAAAATGTTTCGGAGATGCATATCTGAAGTAAAAATAACCCAACTTATATAACACCTCTTAGAATGGTCTTTGTTGAGTGTGTATAAGGTGCGTCTAAAGACACATCTCTGAAAACATGAGGTATTTGTGAAAATTCACGTGATGCAGTAGAAATTTATAAGGTGCGTTAAGAAATTCACTTATTCAATATTATTTTCCCTTTCTCCTCTTTATGAAAATCAACCAACTCTTAACACATCGCCTAACATACAAGGACATGTCTATGCACATAAAATTGGAAGAAGCTAACCCCACTTAACTTTTTTTGTTTGTATCTCAAATGGTGTAGTTTTGAAGATAATTTTGTTTTTTTGGTTCGGTTTACAATTGTTAATTTTTTAATATATTTAATTAGCATTCAAACGGCCATTTTCATGCTCATTTGTCATTTTTTTTAATGTGCATGTGTCAAAATATAAATAGATTTTTTTTATTTAGTTTTGATTTTAAATGCAGTCTCATGTCTGTCTTTTTTTTGCCCGTCTTCAATTGTTGAAAAAATATATAATTAATTGAGAGATAAATTGTCAAATGATTGATTAATTAATATTTTCTGTTAGGTGTTATGGATATAATATTTTTGAAATGCTAAAGAAAAGAGAAAATCACCAAAAATATAAGTGAATTAATTCGTAAATTGAAACCGGACGCACTCAACCATGCCAAAATACAGTAACAAATATTTTTAGATATTGAAATTCGGATTCACCATTAGCTATCATGTAAAAAAACACACAACAAACAACTAAATTGGTATAAGAGTGTGCCAGGAAATTAAAATTCATATTCACCTATGTTGTCAAAACACTCCACAAACAATAATCTGATTCAGAGGTTTGTCCAAATATTGAAATTTATATTCTCTCATGTTATCACAAATACAAAATACACCAACAATGTCAGATAGAGAATATAAAATTTCATAACTTAGGATAAATCATTGTTATCACACACAAAAAATACATGAATATTTGTTAACTTAAATCTAACATGATATTTCATCATCAAGAAATCATTCATAATATTTCATCATCTTTAGAATATTTGCGGCTGATCTCGCAAGTGTTGCATCCACCTTGATTGAACTCTTAATTACGTAATAACGAAACGTACCCCACATAACACTTACATATGCATATGTGTTCAACTCAAATTTATTAAACTTAATCTTCCCTTCATTATCAACTGTTGGTGAATGATATTCGATCTTAATTACTCTCTTATTGTTGGTGTAGTGCAATAGATTCTCCAGTTTGAATTTCAGATCTACAAGAGAGATGTTCTATATGATCCAAGGCCTCATGCGGTTGAAGTAAAAAAATAGAGTACACTAATGAATCAATTTGGAGTGTATATGTTAAATACATATACATTTATAAATTTTTTAGATTATTATGGACCATACAAATGTAATCTTACCTCAAGGGTTGATCCAAATATTGAAATCTAAATAATACACATGTGTAGTCTTCGGATATTAAAATCTGAATTCACTCTTGTTAGAATCACATATACGCAGAACATATGATTTGTCTGGATATAAAAATTCAAATTCTCCTTTGTCAGTATCACACCAGACCACTTGACAATACTTGTTTTATGGTATCCAAACACATCAAAACATTAATTACAGTTTTATACAAGTATGTTAAATGTACATTAAAACACTTTGAATTACATCCATGTAAATAATTAACTAACATTACATCTAAAAAACGTGTCACCACCTAAATGCATGCATTGTAAGATAAAAACTAGGCTTAATGCATAAAAAAAATGTGTCACCACCTAAACCTATGAGTGATTCCTTTTTGACTTTTCTTGATTTTATTATTTTTCAATATTGTATAACTTGAAAAACTCTTTCATCCTATCCAAAAAAGTATCCGACTAAGTTTCAACTTCTTTTGTGGAATGAGATGTTTACATGGACAATGTTCGTAGTATAGGACATCATGGTTTCAACTAAACTTGAATAGAATTTGTGATTTTGAAAGCCATCTAATACACATAATGTGTCATGCATGATTTTAAAGTGGAAACTTTGAAGTGAGAAAAATATTTTTGAGAAACCATATCTTGTCAAATCGATACACAATTTTTTATATGCACTTGCTATACGATGACTCATTTCAAGGAAACACATCCATTTTTTCATCGTTGCTAGACAATTAAGACAAGGAATAACATCTTGAATTTTATCATATTGTTCTTTTTTTCCGTATAACATTGTGTATTGTGTGCATGTAACTCATCTTGGAGGACAAATGTATGATTCCTCTCTCTCTCTCTCTCTCTCTCTCTCTCTCTCTCTCTCTCTCTCTCTCTCTCTCTCTCTCTCTCTCTCTCTCTCTCTCTCTCTCTCTCTCTCTCTCTCTCTCTCTCTCTCTCTCTCTCTCTCTCTCTCTCTCTCTCTCTCTCTCTCTCTCTCTCTCTCTCTCTCTCTCTCTCTCTCTCTCTCTTGTTGAGAATAATATAACAAGTGTGAGTTGAAGTCCCACATTGGTTATAATTGTAGAGAGTTGAACATTTATAAGTGAGAGAACTCATACACCTATCACCTTAAGATTTTTGGTAAATAATTGTTTCTTGATGCGAACACCTTTAATAAAACTTTTTTTTTTGAATTATGAAATTGGAGAATCCATATATATATTGATACAACAAATTCAGAATAGAATGAAAACTCTTTGATTGAATTGTCACTCAGTGTTGATTTGACATTCTTAAAGCATTATACTTCAAAGTCTCCGATAAAAAAAAGAGAATTAGAGGGAAAAAAAGATAAACTCTAAAATGAAAATAAAAGAGTGGATAATTGTATATGAAGGGTAAAAAGAATTTAAAATTTGAATCATTTGTCTAAAATATATTATGAGGTAGCTAAAGAATTTTTTTCATTTTTTATATTTGTTAATTACACTATTAAACTTTAACATATTTTTTAAAACAAAGGTTATTCGAGTAACTAAGTTTATATTCAATTTTTTTATAATTGATTGGTTTTATTATATGAAAAATTAAAATAAAAAATGCTTTTTTTTCAATAAAACGGAAAAGTGTTTTTAAATTAAAAATACTTATATATAAACAAGAATTTAATAGTATTTACATATAAATTACACACTTTAATTGTAATTAAAATGTATTATTAAATCATCTACATTGTTTTAAAACTATTATATTTGAAAGATTTAGAAAAAATGAATGGTGCACTGACATTGTAAATTATTTTTACATGGTTAAGTATTGACAATCATTTATCCTGTCAAGTTAGTCTATAAATTTTAATTTATTTATATGATTTGACATTTTAAAATAGAATTTAATTGATATGCATTAAGAATGCAAAATTATTTTACACTGTAAACCAACCACCTCATATATCTCATCACATCAGACTGTAAATTTTAAATTATCAGTATGAAATGATAGACTAATATATTTTTATTAAATGACAATATATAATTATTTTACATTGGCATACCAATTAAACTCTTTATATATATATATATATATATATATATATATATATATATATATATATATATATATATATATATATATATATATATATATATATATATATATATATATATATATATATATATATATATATATATATATATATATATATATATATATATATATATATATATATATATATATATATATATATATATATATTACTTTTTACAGTGCACTATCATTATATTCATATATTTATAAAATAGTTTAATAAAAATAAAAATGACAAGATATTGAGAACTCTATTACTATGTTTTATTCTAAGCGTAAAAGAATTGTGTTGGACAAATCACAAAAACATTTAGAAGGACTAAGTTGCAAAATGCAAAATTGACTCAAATTGCAATTATGAAAAATTGAAAATGTAACACAGTCCATGCATACTAATGGAGTAATGGATAATAACACTCTCGTCGACCTTTTTATCTTCACTTTGCTCCGCCACAATTAACGCCGGCCACCGTGAAACCGCCGCGACTGCTTCATATCCGATCTAGGTTATTCTCCTTACGGTTTCTCTCTTGCTGCATGTTTTGAGTGCTCAATTTCGCTTCTCCTCTACCACTTTACTATCCTCTTTCCAGAATTTGGATTTCCCCAATCTACTTGAACCCTGATTTGTTTTCTTGTTCAATTCATGCAATTGAACCCATTTTTATATAATTAGAGTTGCATATGACTAATTCCCTAACAAAATTACATTTTTTTATGAATCAAAATCAACATCTCCTAGTTTTCTCTGAGGCCCAAACGAATATTTTTTATGGAGGCAAGTAGTAAGTTAGCAGGAAAAAAGGCCGTTTTCAGTTTCCTTGTTTTTGCCAGAAATTAGAATACTTGTAGAATTGCTCCATCACTTTCATTTGGGTTTTTCAATATCTTGAAATAATTCGTTCTTATGTGTACTATTAGTATTTTGGTAGAATTATTCCATTGATTTTTTTGGAATTTGTTAATTTCTGTTTATCTCATTTTCTGTTATTATGTGTTTTCTTCTCTGTTTTTCCAGATAAAAGCTATTGGATGGTGGCGTTTTGAACCAAATAACAGAAACTGGACTAAAAATGAATGTGTTAGCCCCCAACGTGGTACAGCAACTGTCACTATCTTTCTCAAAATCGTTTTCATGTTTTGAATGGCAGAACAAGAGCAAGAATGGGCTATTCCTCACAGTGACAGTAGCAAAACCACCTTCTCGGTCAACTGTGATCCGGATGGGTGGAGGGCCAAGGACATTCCCAGGTGGGGTGTCCAAGTGGCAGTGGAAGAGAATGCAGGCCAAGAAGGCCAAGCAGCTCATGAAAGCACGGCTATGCCGGGAGCGGCAGATATATGAAATGAGGAAGAGGGCTGAACTTAAGGCTGCCGTGTCTGAGCTGGAGAAGCCTTGGGAGGTGGTTGAGAAGCCCCCCATGTTGTTCTCTATCAAAGCTGATGAGCAGCTCAAGGTTTTGGCTGATAGGTTTCAGAAGCCTGGTGGGTTTGACCTTTGGACTGAAAATGATGGACCACAGTTGTTTCAAACCCCTGACGAGTTGCCTTCTGCGAGGTTCTTTCCTAAAGGGGTTGTTCATAGTATCAAGCCTTATATGAAGGTTACTAGTGATGACTTGTTGGAGGAACCAGATGTTCTGGAAGATGATGGTGGGGAAGGGTATTGGTTAGAGAATGTCGCTGATGATGAAGGTGATTCTTCTTCTCCTTCGAATTATGGGGACAATGGAATGAATGTGGGTGTCCAATTTAGAAATAATGGAAATGGAAGGAGGTATTTGTCAGAGAGTGTTGATCGGTCTAACGATGGGGAGCGTTATTCTCATTTGAGTAGTGGGAGAAATGAATTGAATGGTCGTGGTGGATTGAGAAAGAATCGGAATGGGAGGAGGTATTTGTCGGAGGATGTTGATCAGTCCCATTACGAGGAGCGTTCTTCTCATTTGAGTAGTGGGAGGAATGAACCGAATGTTCGTGGTGGGTTGAGAAAGAATGGGAGGGGGAGGAGGTATTTGCCGGAGGATGTTGATCGGTCCCATGACGGGGAGCATTCTTCCCATTTTAGTAGTGGGAGGAATGATTTAAATGTTCATGGTGGATTGAGAAAGAATGGGAACGGGAGGAGGTATTTGTCAGAGGATGCTGATCGGAACCATGACGGGGAGCGTTCTTCTCATTTGAGTAGTGGGAGGAATGGATTGAATGTTCGTGGTGGATTGAGAAAGAATGAGAATGGGAGGAGGTATTTGTCGGGGGATGTTGATCGGTCCCATGGTGGGGAGCGTTCTTCTCATTTTAGTAGTGGGAGGAATGGGTTGAATGTTCGCGGTGGATTGAGAAAGAATGGGAATGGGAGGAGGTATTCGTTAGGGGATGTTGATCTGCCAGATAATGAAGAGCATTATTCTTCTTTGAATTCTGGGAGGAATGAATTGGATGTTGGTGCTAGTATGCGGAAGCACAGGAATGGAAGGAATTTTATTTCTAAGGGTGTTGATGGGCCAGATGGTGCAGAGCGATCTTCTCCTTCTCATGTGAGGAATGGAGTGAGTTTTAATGGCAAATTTGGGAATAAAGGGAGTGCGAGGGTTATATCCAAGGATGGTCACACTGATCGCTCTAATGGAACTGGTGATGTTAGATCAAGAAGGAAGGAGAGTGGAAGGGGGTCTATGTCAAAGGATGTTAGTGGGCCTAATGGGATGTATGCAGGAAGAGATGGTTCTGTTAGAACACAAAGAGGGGGTAGTTCCGTTGCAGGCAGAAGTTATGGAAAATATACTCAGAGGACTTCAAAAAATGCTTCACAAAGGGTTAGAGATGCAGATTCTGAAGTTTATGATATGGGTTTGCAACAAGATGGAAGTTATAAATTCTTAGAGAGTGAGCAATCTGACTCTACAGGTTGGTAAAACTCTGGACTCTTAGCGAAGGGTCATTCTTAGTTATCAACGAGTTTGAATGTTAGTTATAGGTCTGCTTGAGGATGATGACTGATGCTCTGTCTACACTTTGTCAGGCATTGTAAAAGTATATTTTGTATATAGTGCATTTGATCTTGAATGAAAATGTTGAATTTCAAATCAAAGTCCTTTGTATTATTTTAAAACTTTTGAACTTCATAAACTCATATAATGCTTGTTGCTTGCAATCATTTGAAAGTCCATAGAATATATTTTATTAACAGTGTAATGATATGTATGTTGTAAATACATAACCTTTTCCAAGGTGATTTCTCTTAAAAGTGTTGTGTTTGAAACCAACTGTTTTTTGTTTCAAAAAGCAAACAATAACTAAGTTATGTTAAATCAAATTTAATTATATAAGTTTTGTCCTTGACTACATGAATATTGAGAAATTGGTATTATATTGGCATGCTAGAATCCAGGGTTTTTAAAAAACTGTTGGCCGTGACAAAATAGTTTTGGCAGATGTCGATACCGATACCATTATCACCGTTTTCTATATTAAAGAACAAATTATGGTGAATTCACACCACGACAACTGCAATCAGTGTTGCGACACCTGTACCGACCAAAATCGTGAAAACTTTTATCCGACTGCGACCGTTTTTTAAAACCCTGCTAGAATCTAATCAAGGTGAACACATAAATAAGGTCTTTTGAACCAGTTTTTGAGCATAGCTTTTGTAGCTTAAAATATTATGAGTGTCCTGCTAGAGTGTATTGAAACAGATATAAGCTGTTAACCTTATTGATTGCAATTCAGTGTTCGAATTGGATTTTGAAGTGGTATATGGAACAGTGGATCCCATACAAGATCCAAGTCATACTCGTATCCTTTTCTTATTTCACCCGACTGGCAAAATTGCCATCTGTATATATTTAATCCCTAACATTTTGCTGCAGGCTGCACAGTGAGAGCTATTGGTTTTGCCTTTATTAATGCTGATAAAAGTAGTAATTTTGACATAGTTTGTAGATGTTTTCTATGAAACTGTAAGGGCGATAAAACTCTTTATGTAGAATCTCTAAAATTTAGAAGCAAAATATCAAAATCTAGTGAGGTTTGAAATTTTTCGTCGCTCGTTTAATTTTGTAAAATAAATACCAGTGTGTCTTTTATGGGATCAATTTCATTCTCTCTTTTTGGCTTCACTCATGTTTCCTTTCAGTTATAGCCATGAGGGTCAAGACATTAGCAATTAAATCAATGAGCTGTGAGTTATGACCTTATTCATGATGAAATGAAGGTAGGTTCTTTGGCTTTTACATTGTTGAACATGTACATGCTTTCCAATTGATTTAACTGTATCATTTTAATAAAAAAGGCTATCTTTTGGTTCAATCATTTCAATGTTGCTTTTCTTTTTCCAATTTTTACTAGCAATCAAGTTGAAAGACTTGTTAGGATATGATCAATGCATTTTAAATTTTGTCATTGAAGACATTATAATGGTATAGCTTGGTTGATACGGATTTAGGGGGGATATGTTTACAGTAAATATACTCCAAGAGTGCACTTTCTTGACTGATACAGGGAACTGTTTATTACAGTTTTACTAGATGAGAAACTAGACTCCCTTTTTTATATTCTCATCTCAATTTGCTCTTTCCTGCTCAAAATTGGATCCTATGTCTCCTCAAATATAATATATCAAATAAAGAGCCTCTTAATGATTTCCCATTTTGCACTGCTACCTCACATCAATGGGACCAGGAAGGAACTCCTTTCTTTATTGAAGCTGTGACTGAAATAGTTTGGAGCCTTTTTTGTCCCATCTAAATTAATATATTATCCATAAAGTCTTGAATTTACTCCTTGTTTTGGACATGTTGAGTTGCCAAGTTGTTGAAGCTATGTGATCTGCTAGAGTATTCCTTTATAAGTTTGTAGAAGAAGGAATCTTCTCTTTCAAGTAACTTTGATGGTTCATCATACTCCACAATTCTCCCTGTAACATCAGATATATATATTAAGCTACTTCATGGAAATATCATATGTCAAACTCTAGTGTCATTATTATGTTACTTCATTTTGCTGCGGACTAGTCTTTTAAACTTGAAAACCTGTTTAAAACAGTTTAATTGTCAAAACTAGTTCTAATGGTGCTCTCAAACACTTACCATCACTGAGAACCAAAACCAAGTCGCTATCTATAACTGTGTGGATACGATGAGCTATTGTGACAACTGTTCGATTGTTGAACTCTTGACAGATGATATCCTGTATCACTCCATCAGTTGCAGAGTCCACTGAGGCTGTTGCTTCATCTAGCACTAATATGCTGCTTTTCTTCAGTAAGGCTCTTCCAAGGCAAAATAATTGCCTTTGTCCAGCACTCCAGTTATCGCCATTTTCAACCACTGAGAAAGCATTTCAGTTGTTAGTAACAATGATTGATTATTACCAAAAGAATAATAAACTATGTAAGTTGATAGCTAATGAATCTAACCTGGGGAGTCCAACTTCTCTTCCATGGCTCTCACTAGGTGACCTAGCTGACATTTATCTAGAGCCTGAAAATGAAAATTTCATGTGTATACAAGATGGTCTTAGAAAATGTAATAAGGGTATTTTAGTATATTTCATATTATATTACATGTTATTCATGATCTAGTTGTTTGATTAAAGTGTTTACCTCCCAGACTTCAATGTCAGAGTATTGCTCAAGAGGATCCAGGTTTCCTCTAACCGTGCCTTCAAACAAGGCGGGATCTTGTGGGATAATGCTCAGCCTTGACCTTAAGTCATGGAGACCTATCTCACATATGTCTACATTGTCGATCATAATGCATCCCTCTCTTGGTTCGACGACCCTGAAAATTGCTTGTATGAGTGTTGATTTCCCACTTCCGGTTCGTCCTACGACGCCAATTTTCTTCCTTCCAGGAAACGTGCAAGTGATGTTTTTCAGCACCGATGGGAGATGTTCAGCATAACGTATCTGTATCATATTTTTGTTGTATATTAAAAGAAGATATGTTAGGTAAAACTGGACACATAATTTGATTCATCACATATTTTGTGTCCTAAATTCTTACTATATCAAACCTGCAAATTTTGGAAAGATATTGTTCCAGTTTCTGGCCAGTTTCTTGGCGGCCGGCAGTTTTCAATCACAAGAGGTGATTCACTTGCTATATTTGTATATTGAAGAATTCTTTCAACTGATATCATCTTGTTTTCTGCATTACAAATGTTCCATATAACTGAAGCTTGCAAGACATTTAGATTGATTCCATATGTTACTGCCAACCCTGCAATGCCTGTAACATATCGAGAAAAAATATCTTAAATTCCTGTGAGGAGCCTTATATGACAATAACTGTGTATGTTTGCACAAAACATGAATAATTGATGTTCTTAAAGGGTTCTACTTTTTTCGTCTGTTATTGATATTTTCTCAGTAAAAATTTGTACTTACTTGGATTAATGAAACCTTCAGGGAGGCTCACTAGCACGACAAGTGAAAAGGCGAAAACAAAATTTGAAAGCAAATTCAATCTGAAAGAAAGCCATTCCATTGCAGACACATTATGAAACCATGGCCTTGAGAAGCCATCCAAAAGGACAAGATTTGACCTCATGAAACGGCCTTCTTGGTCGAAAGCTCGTATTGATGCAGCTCCTGCTAAAGATTCTGAAAAATGGTGGAGTATTGGAGTAATCTGTATCTGTGCTAACCGAGCCAGCTCTCTTGCCGTCGGATTATAATATCTCTGAAATAATAAACATCATTCAACTTCTGTTATGATCATTTTTGTTTACTAGTTTAACATGAGTAATGCTCTTGCATCTTCTGCTTTAAATATTAAACTTAAAATTTGAATACATGTACATGATTCACATAGCTTACACGTTGTGAAATTGAAATATTATATGTTGCGTAAATTTTGAGTTAGTAATGAGTAATACTTGTTTTATGTAACTTTCATAGGGAGAGCAAGCAGGAAGAAAGGGCACATACTTGATACCATATGCAGATTGCAGTTACTGGAATGAAGATGATAAACACTTGCCATGCCGCCTGACACATCACCGCAATCGTTCCTAGAATCTGTATTATTGAGAAAGCACACCATCCTACTCGGTTTGCCATTTCCAAGTCTAGCACACTTTGATCTGTTGAGGCCTGAAATTGAAATTTTCAATACTGCATTCTAATAATAAAACAATAATAAACATAAATAGCATTTTCATATATATAGCTTACCCTGTTCAAGATTCTTCCAGTTGGGGTAGAATCGAAAAACGACATGGGGGCTCTTTGCACATTGTGCAACATTCTTGTGAAAAAAGTTTGTGCTGTCCAAAGTCCAACATTTAAAACCAACATGGCTCTCAGAAGAACACAAAAGGCACCAGCAACAGATAGTACCATATAAATCAGTAATATGAAATTCATATCATATATTGGCTTAGCATCAGATTTTGTAGGACAAACCCAAGCCATCCAATAGTTACTAGCAATCTGAAGAATTTGGAATGACGACTGTGCCAATATTATGATTGGAACAAGTAGTCCTCCTTTAACAGTTGTCAAATAAGACCAATAAACTTCTCTTGATATGCTTCCTGTTTCTCGTTCTTCATCTTTAACCAATTTTCCATCATTGTTTCCTTTGTTATCAGGTCGATTATCTTGCACTGTGTCGAGCTTTGTGTGCAAAAGTTCAGAACTTGAGTGTGAGTAGGTGATGCATTCTCCTTCAGGTATTGGATTTAAATCTGTTTTACTTGAGTTTTCAACCATAAGAACTGACTCTAGTGCTTTGCTATGAGCACCAACTAATACTTCAAATCCTATATTTTGCTTTAGAAGTTCTTCAAATGTTCCAGCCTGTGCAATCCTTCCATTTTGCATTACCTGGTAATCATTTGGAAGAAATAAATCAAGACTATGAAATCTAAAGTAAATGAACACTTTAACGAGTTTAATTCTTGTTAA